TTTTAAAATATTTCCCCCAGAGAACAATTCATCCATTGCATATATTGCTCTGAATGGAGTTTGAATAAATTTGTGCCAGAGTCTTGGATACCTGCCTATTTATTTTTTTTATAATACCAGACTAATAGAATACAGGCCAAAGTATCTGGCTGAGGCAGATCAGGAGAATCACATAAAACATACAGAACAAGGCCCAAGTACAAATGGAAACGTACTCCCTGATAAAGGTGGCATTTCTAATTAGTAGGAAAAAGATTGTTTAATAAATTGTGCTGAGACAACTGGCAGCCATCTAGAAAAAATGTTTGGATTCTTATAAACTAGAATAAAGTCAGAAGGGATTAAGGGTTTAAATGTTAAAATAAAAGTGCTAATGGGAGAATTTCAAACTCCTCTCTGCATGGCAAGGGGCTTTCAAAATGTGAAACACAATTTGGGAGGCCAAGACAGGCAGATTGCTTGAGCTCAGGACTTTGAGACCAGTCTGGGCAACATGGCAAAACCCTGTCTCTACCAAAAAATACAAAAATTAGCCAGGCATGGTGATGGCACCCGCCTGTAGTCTCAGCAAGTTGTCTGAGGTGGGAGGATGGATTGAGCCTGGGAGTTCAAGGCTGCAGTGAGCCATGATCACAGCACTAGACTCCAGCCTGGGCGAAAGAGTGAGACACTATCATTCACTTTGGCATTGTTTGTAATAGCAAAATATTGGTAACAATCTAAATATACATTCAATAAAGAACTAATTAAATAAATTATAAAATATTATGCAGCCTAGCTAGGAATGGTGGCTTACGTCTGTAATCCCAGCACTTTGGGAGGCCAAGACCAGTGGATTGCTTAAGCCTAGAAATTTGAGACCAGCCTGGGCAACATAGGGAGATCCCCATCTCTACTAAAAATACCAAAAATTAGCCAGGTGTGGTAGCACACTCCTGTAGTCCCAGTTACTCTGGAGGCTGAGCCTGGAAAGTTGAGGCTGCGGTGATCACGCCACTGCACTCCAGTGTGGGTGACGGGAGTGAGACCTTGTATAAAAAAAAACAAAAACAAAAACTTATGCTGTTATAAACAAAGAATAAAGAAGCTCTTCATGTACTAACACAAAACAATCTTGAAGGCTGAATGCAGTGGCTCATGTCTGTAATCTCAAGGCTATGGGTGGCCAAGAGAGGAGGAGCCCTTGAGGTCAGAAGTTTGAGACTAGTCTGGGCAACATAGCATGACCCCATCTCTACAAAAAAATTTAAGAATCAGCCAGTTGTGGTGGCATGCACCTGTAGTCCTCACTACTCAGGAAGCTGAGGCAGAAGAACTGCTGGAGCCCCGGCGTTTGAGACTGCCGTGAGTATGATTATACCACTGCATTCCTGCCAGGGCAACAAAGCAAGACTCTGTCTCTTAAAAAAAAAAAAAAAAAAAAAAAAAAAAAAAAAA